GGACTGGTTGGATCTCCTTGCAGTCCAAGGGACTCTCAAAGAGTCTTCTCCAACACCACAGTTCAAAAGCATCAATTCTTCGGCACTCAGCTTGCTTTACAGGCCAACTCTCACATCCATACATGACCACTGGAAAAACCATAGCCTTGACTAGATGGACCTTTGTTGGCAAAGTAATGGCCATGCTTTTTAATATGCTGTCTAGGTTGGTCATAACCTTCCTTCCAAGGACTAAGCGTCTTTTAATTTCATGGTTGCAATCACCATCTGCAGTGATTTTGGAGCCCAGAAAAATAAAGTCAGCCACTAACTTTATTCCTTCATATGCCCCATCTATGTGCCATGAAGTGATAGGACCGGATGCCACAATCTTAGTTTTCTGAATGTTGAGCTTTAAGGCACTTTTTCACTCTCCTCTTTCACTTTCATCAAGAGGCTCTTTAGTCTAGGTTAACACCAAAAACTCAAAAATTGGCTAATTTAAGAAAATCTTAATTAAAATTTAGAAATTTAAAATGAAAAAATTAATTTCATTTATCTACTTACTATGAAATCTTGTTTAGGAAACTGTAATTTACAGAAACATTTTTACATGTTAATTTTATTTGCTTCTCAGAATTACCCTGAGTTGGGTATCATTATGTCTGTTTTATATATGTGAAATACTGAAGCATTGAGAAATTACATAAGATCATTTTCTGACATAAGGTCATAGAACTAATGAGTATACGAAATGACCAGAGCTTCAGTTCAGGTCTTTTGAGGGCAGAATATGTATTATTCTTTTTAATTCTCCTCTAGTCTAATTTTACTTTTCTACTATAATAAAAATGAAAAACAGGTGCTTAATGACAAGCTTGTCCAATCATCTGTAGATAAGTGACTTCTCTAAAATGAATAATGTGACATAAAGATATTTTCATTGCATCCACAGAAGGGATTGATCTGACAACCTGAGGTTTGATATAGTCTGAGCATTTAGTGAGGAGAAGAAGAACACATTATATTGTCATTCTGGCTTTAGAAATTTTAGCCAAAGAAATCAGGGCAGTTCCCAACAGTCCCTTTTCATAGTTGCTGAAAATGTGCATCATATCCCTGATGAATTCTCCTGTGGAGCTAATTACCTGGAGGAAGGAAGGAGGCAAAGATGAGCATGCCCTGTGGACTTTTCTCTTGCAATATACATTTTCTCCTCAACCCACCAAGGCACCAGAAACTGGCATTTTCTCAGAGAGGCCATGTAACCTGTAATATTAATTGAGGGCTGACAGATTAGCAAAATGAATATCTAGTAGAAAGAAAACTATAAGCAGAGACCAGAATCCATACAGCAGACCTAGAGAGGTGAAATGAAATTCTTCTGCCTGTTACCTGAAGATGCTTGTGCTTATCAAGGGTGTATATCCTCATGTGAGTTTTTTCTGTTGTTGCTTGTTTTTGGGGGCCACGCCATGCAGCATGCAGGATCCTAGTTCCCCAACCAGGGGTCGAATCCATGCCCCTGCTTTGGAAGCTCAGAAAGTCTCAACCACTGGACCACCAGGATGTCCCAAATGTGCATGTCTTGATGCTGACTTATCAAGGAGTTCCTGCTCATCTTCCCCCTCTTGCCATGATCCCTCTCTCTGATGGCAGCTCAGGCAGTGGGCACCTATTCGTCAAAACACCCCCAAACTCATTCTCCTCAGTTAATCTCTTTAGACTCCCAAAAGGAGACTTAGCACAACAGGATTTTTACCTGATGCTCTATCAGTTCTTTCTCCTTTTTTTTTCCTCCCAGTGGGAATCCCTTGGTTCTCTTTCTCAGCTACGTTAACTGTAGTGTAATTTGCTTTAAAGCATTTTCTGAGAGAAAATTTACACAACCACAACCATTTCTGCTCCAGAAAATAAGATTTATCTTAGGGCAGAGAAGAAACAACTCAAGGGTGATATGTTGTGTGCATAATATAAAAGGATTTTTTTTTTTTTTTGCTTTCATAATACTTTAATCTTGTTAAACAGGTATCAAAACAGCTTTAAGTTAGAGGCATCTGCAGCTACATATTTCCCTGTCCTGGTCCTATCAATGTCAATATACCATTGACATTTACTTATTGCAAGTTTCTTCCTCTGTCTATTTGTGACTGCATTTCACAGTGTGCCTTTACAAATCTCACCATTTAGCTCTTAACACCCAGGAGGTCACTTCTCTCCTGAACAATTATGGTACTTGAGAAGAAGAGGAATACTCCTGAGACAAGTGTTGCCAGATTTAGCAAATAAAAATACAAGTTGTCCACTTAAATATGAATTTCAGATAGACAACAAATATTGTTTGGTATACACATGTTCAAGATACTTATTTATGGAACATACTAGTCTATGTGTAATGTCATAATAAAGATTATTAAAACCTTATGCTAAAAATTATTCATTACCTATCTGAAAATTTAATGAGGTATTTTTATATTTTATCTGGCAATCCTATGCGAGACCAGTTTTTAGATTCTATAGAGACCAGAGGTGGACTATGTCAGAGTAAGCAGCACATTTTTTAACTTTCTGAATAAGCAGGGGGTAGAATAGTAGTCTTTTCCCACTAGAAATGGCATAGGAAGGGGTACTGGTTCAAATTAATATACCCCTCAGGTTTGATCCATTCTGCCACCTCAGAATCAGGGTGGATGATAAGATATATCTGCTTGATAGTGTTTTATAAGTCATTGCTTGAAGCTATTCTTGGCTTCTTTTGCATCTTAATTAATTGTTATTCTTTCATACTTCTTCCCTGAGGTGATTTTTAAAAACTTAGACTCTATAATAATCAGTAAATTCCAAGGTCTATTTGTATGTAGATATTTAAGATTTTTGAGGATTGGTAAGATTTAATGAGATTTAGAATGAAATGTAATTGTCAATAGTGTCTATTTAAAAAAAAAACTTCTCTAGAGTTGAACTAAAACACAATTCCTTCAAAATATGTCTGAAGATCCAACAAAGGTTTAATGAAACCACCAGTGGTGAGAATTCGAAAGAGTCATATTGAAAATCCCCCTCAAATTCTGAGGGCTTCCTTTGTGGCTCAGCGATGAAGAATCCGCCTGTAATGCAGGAGACCTGGGTTCGATCCCTGGGTTGGAAAGATCCGCTGGAGAAGGGAAAGGCTACCCACTCCAGTATTCTGGACTGGAGAATTTCAGGGACTGTATAGCCCATGTGGTAGCAAAGAGTTCAACACGACTGAACGACTTTCACTTTCAAATTCTGGATTTGACTAAAACGGACCTGATTATAAGTCTAGAATATTGAGGTCAACACATGTCAAACAGTTGGAGTAACTCTTTGATAGAGGAAGTCTGTTGTCACATTTCACAGCTGCATAGTCATCTACTGGCCTTAATATTTTAGAAATGAGAATTTAGCTCCTACTTCAACCCCTATTTTTCTCAACTTAAAAAACTGACGTAGTCTGGACTTAAGATGGAGGAAAACAGAATCTATAAAAGCCACAAGGTGGCATTAGTGGTAAAGAATCCGCCAACGCAGAAGGCACAAGAGATATGGTTTTAATCCCTGGGTTGGGAAGATCCCTTGGTAGGAAGTGGCAACCCACTCCAGTATTCTTGCCTGGAAAATTCCATGGACAGAGGAGCCTGGTGGGCTACAGTCCTTAGGGCCACAGAGAGTCAGACATGACTGAGCACAATAACTGTAAAGCTACTACCAGTTCAGTTCAGTTCAGTCTCTCAGTCATGTCCGACTCTTCGGTTGTCCATCACCAACTCCCAGAGTTTACTCAAAACATGTCCATTGAGTCTGTGATGGCATCTAACCATCTCATCCTGTTGTCCCCTTCTCCTCCTGCCTTCAATCTTTCCCAACATCAGGATGTTTTCAAAGAAGTCAGCTCTTCATATCAGGTAGCCAAAATATTGGAGTTTCAGCTTCAACATCAGTCCTTCCAATGAACACCCAGGACTGATTTCCTTTAGGATGGACTGGTTGGATCTCCTTGCTACTACCACTTCCCTCAAAATTCTATAACAGAGTAGTAGATTAAAGATGGCCAAAAATTCTTTTCTCAAAGTGAATAATTTCCTTCCCTTTGAATCTAGATTGATCTCAGGGACTTGCTTGATCAATAGAATGCAGCATAAGTGACATGCTGGGAGTTTTGAGTCAATTTTATAGGAAGCCTTTTGACTTCCATCTAGAACTTCTTCATATGCTCTCTCTGGGAGTCCTGAGTTACTAGATAACTACCTGAGAACACTTAGCTGGGAAGACCACCCAAAGGCCCTTGAACTGTTCCAGTAGAGTCTAGCTTCCTAGTCCCTCCATCCAGGCAGACATATGAGCAAAGCTATTTTGGCCTCCATACCAGCCCATTTACCAGCCAAATACTACCCAGGGATCTTTTATTGAGGACTCAGGAACAGAACAGCCCAGCCAAACCTTGCTAGAATTACTGACCCCCTGAGATTGTGATACGATAAAATGGTTTTATCTTAAGCCACTAGTATTAGAGTAGTTCATTAAGCAGATAACCAGAAAAAACAAGGATTTATTGCTCTTTTCACTTAAAAACAGAATGAAGTGGAAGAAAAGAAGGATAGGCTGATTAGAGAAGGTCAAAGGGGAGAGTGGAATCAGTTCCTCTAAAAGGAGATCATTGTGTTGGACTTGAATAAAAGATGAGTTAGGGATTTAGAAGACTCAGGGAATGTTTAAAAACTATGTCAAAATTTTTGGCAGCCTGCTACTGTGATTTTGGGTCACACTTACAACTCTGGTCCAACTTCTTAGAGATTCAGAGGGAAAACAGCAGTAAAGTCTCGCTTCATGCAGATGCTGTGAACAGTAATGAATAAACATGACAAATAAATATGCTGAAAATAAGAAGTGAAAATGCTAAATACGTTAGAAGCAATCTTTACACCTACTGAAAATCCTTCATCAGATGATTTCAAGTTGGAGGTGTCTCAGGAGAAAATAACTTTGAAAATACAAACAGATTTTATTTTTTGTACTTTTATTGAAAAGGTACATTTAAAAAAATACACAGACATTTTACCATTTACAGATTGCAGATAAAGATGCTCTAAAAGAGTTCCTCCTATTTTGCTGTCTTATACCTCTTGCCCCTGATATCACAAACATTCCAGTCTTGTTGATATCAGCTTAGAAACGGGGGCATGGGAACATGACCTGCAACAGATTTCAGTGAACAGAAAGACAGATTGTTCAATTATAAATTTTTTTTTTATCTTCTGTACATTATTGCATTAGGGAGCCACAAAATTATGTAGCATCATTACAAATGAAAACAGGTTAAAAATGAAGAAGATAATGACATAGAAATACATAGATTCATTGTCTTCTTGCAGAGTGCACAAGAGGTGCAAAAATGTGCAATTTAGGAAGCTCTTTTTCTGTTTGTATACATTTGCTTAGCAACTCAAAACTGGTGAGGAAGCTCCAAAATAAGTTAAACAAAAATAGCAGACAGGTAGTAATCAGAGCTATGTTATATGGCTTTCTATTTTGTTTAAATATCACCAAATAAAATGTAAAACAAAGAAAATACATTATTTTATCTTTTGTTCTCTCAAAGAGAAAATTCAAAGCTACTTTGCTTCCTAACATTTACACAGCAACTAAAAATGTTTAAGTCAGACAAGAAATACAGGTCTAGTACTACACAGGATACTACAGCACTTGGGTCTAAAACAGTACACGATCCCTGTCAACAAGGGTACACCAGAAGGAAAACGCGGTGATGCGCCGGTCAGATGGGAGCCACAAGCAAGCACTTGTGTTCATCTATTTTGTTCCACACTAGAATGTGCCCAGTTGGATTCCAGGATTATTTACAGACGTGTGAGGAAGACCCTAGTTTTTCAAGTCTGTCAGGAAAATATTCCATATTGTTTCTAAGCCAGATCACACCCATGGAAAAATCGTCAGAGAATGATATATATGCACATATATATTTTTTTCTGACAAACACATTTGCAAGAAACTCAGTATTTCAGGTACACAAACTGAATGGATGAGGGCAGGGGGAGGAAAGAGGGAGACAAAGCTTGTGCTGCTCAGATTCCGAAATTACAGGAGCGCCCCCCCGCAAACACTGTCGAATCTCAGGGACTTACTCTTTGGAGTCAGGGCTCATGGAGGCCTGCTGTGTGCAGCGGGGTGCCGCACTGCCACCGAAAACGCTCCAACTGCCGAATCCTTTTGGCTTTCCTGACCGCCTCAACCGTCCGGGGGCTTGCGGAACCTCAGTACGGGGCGAAGAGGATGGAGGCGGGCGTCGCGCGGATGGGGCCGTGGCCCGGCCTCAGCAGAGCGGGCGGGATGGCTGCGGCCTGGAAGAGCGAGGCCGACGGCCGCGGAGGCAGAGACAGCGCGGAGGACACGGCGGCCGCCGCCAGGGGCGAGGACAGGAAGGCCGGGGCCAGGGGCTTCATCATGTCCTTCTGGAATGCAAGTTTGGCCTGGCAGAGGGAGAAAACCACGAGGGGGTGGGGAGAGAGTTTTCAATGATGGCAGCACTGCTCATGTTTTCCTAAGTAAAAACCAACATTCAGAAGTCAACATTTAAAAATCTTGACCCGTCTAGATCATTTTCACAAAGCTGGTTTCAAAGTCTCTTGGCAAACCTTAACTATAATTTGTTTCCATTTCAACGCTTGCTGGTGGGTCCTTGCCCCTGGGCACTAAAATGGAGGAAAGCCTCTATGAATAGATACTGAAGCTATTTTATGCTGGCTCACAAGGAGCCAAACATGCCCAGGTTTCCTGTGTAGATTGTGGAGGAGCTCCATTCAAAATTGTGGCTTGTCTTAACCCACAATGAGGCTTTTAAGAGAATGTGCCTTACCCTTCACCTCACCTCTTAAAAAAAAGCTGCACTGGGTTAGGTAACTAGATCAGGAAAGTGGGGACCCATGAGAAGTCAAGAAGACACAGTCAGTTTATACCTCTCTGGCCACTTAAAAACTATTCCCTGAAAATCTGCAGCTAACTCAGAGTTGTCACTGGTAATGATTGTAAGTGGGCTAGAAACTATCTCTATTTAAAAGAAATCCCAGGTGGAATCTTCCTGTAAAGTAAGAAATCATCCTTAATCCCTCTCTTTTGCAATCAGGAGGAGCTCTGCAAGCTGGATTTGCTTAATGCTCGTAACACCTGCTTGCAGCATCCATGGAGCTTTGGAAAAGCTGGGGGTAATGTCAGTATCACCTCCAGCTGGCCAATCCCAGCTTTCAGGCTCAGACAGAAACCACACTGGGCTGAGTCCCAGGGAGATTAGGAAATCCTTCCATCTGGGCATTTATATGACATCTATTGGTGGAGCCCATTGATACTTTTGCAAAGAAATGGAAAATAGCACATACTGAAAGCAGGTAAGACAGGCTGACTCTCAACATACCTGCTAGACAGGGAAAGAGAGAGGAATACACACAACCCATGTGCTTTCTGGAAAAACAGAAAAACGCCCCAGAAAGGAGGAGGATATTAAATAGATGCACTTCATTTTTGGAAGGCAGTCCCTTTTCCCAAGTGTAACATGCTCCAAGATTCCTCAGGCATCACTGCCCTTGTTCCCCAAGACTTCACTTTTGTTTATATGCTAAAGAAGGGAATCTTCAGAAAAGGTCCTGTGAACAGTAAGGTATTGGCCCTTAAAGAGGTTCAGTTTCTCTCTTCTAAGCAATCTATCTTCAAGGTGTCCTACAGAAGGGACTAAGTTCCTTCTAAACTTCCTCTCTATGAAGGCTATTTACATTCAAAACCCTTTCAGGACCAATTGTCCCTAGACCTTCCTGACCCACAGTCTCTGCCCCAGCCAGCAGGGCTGCCCCACGACAGGTGAGCAGGCAAGGTGAACTTACTGCTAAAATGCTTGGGCTTCGCTGGAGTTTGTTGTAAGGGCTGTATTTCGGCTTTAATGGCTTCCCAGCAACTCGATCCTTATGCCTTCGGCTAGAAATGTGCTGAAAAAAATTTGATGCATTAGCTGAATCGATGTGTGAGTTTTATGCTATGTAAAATGTATTTCCTAGACAGAATAATATGTCTGGTTCCTGAAAATAGTACATGCTGAGATCAGGTTAAGAGCTGGTTCCTTCATCCGCAGTTCTAGGTCCCTGGTTCTGTGCTGGTGTGGGTAAGATCACCACAGTCTCTGAATTAAGATTTGCTCCCCATTACATTGTCACGCCTCTCTCCCGTTCCTTTCTCTATGGCACTCCTGCAACTTTGCCGGGTATTACCACTGTGACTAGGGGCTTCCCAGATGGCACTAGTGGTAAAGAATCTGCCTGCCAATCTAGGAGATGTAAGAGACACAGGTTCAATCCCTGGGTTGGGAAGATCCCCTGGAGGATAACATGGCAACCCACTCCAGTGTTCTTGCCTGGAGAAATCCCATGGACAGAGAAGCCTGGTGGGCTACAGTCCATGGGGCACAGAGTCGGATGGGGCTGAACAGGCATGCATGCACCACAGTGACTGATGAATCTGTCTCCCTAAGCAGATTTTGGGTCCTTGGAAGACAGACCGAACCTCTACTATCTTAGAAGTCCCTGTTCAGCTGTAAGCTCCAAGCGACCGCGGTGCTCCTTGGTCTATAACACCAAGCCTGGAATCTGACATGCAGTAATAGTAAGTGAAAAGTAACAGTGTCAGTTGCTCAGTCGTGTCCAACTCTTTGCGACCCCATGGACTGTAACCCACCAGACTCCTCTGCCCACGGGATTCTCCTGGCAAGAATACTGGAATGGGTTGCCATGCCCTCCTCCAGGGATCTTCCAAACAGAGAGATCGAACTCAGGTCTCCCTCATTGCAGGCAGATTCTTTACCCTCTGAGCCACCAGGGAAGCCTGTAGTAATAGTAGGTGCACAGATATTTAGTACTAACTTTTTCTTCCACATAGCACTTGCGTGTTATATATCATAGGCACCCTATAAGGTCAGGAAATTTAACTGTGAGCACAATGAGAACCATTAATATAGACTAGGGATACAGTCAAAAGGATACCCAAGCAACAGTGACTATTAATTCAGGGTACATTACCTGTTTGAGTTGAATTTCTGAATTAACGTGGACATCACAGATTTCACAATGAAATGTCTTGTTCTGTAGTCCTGACCCCTTACTGCCATTCTGCATCTTTAATCTTGATCCAGGTCTTGGATAGGACTTAATTGGGCCAGCCCCATTACGAGCTTCAACCATAGTCTTGTGTTTAGATCCTAAGACAGAAAGAAATATATAGTAAATAGCTATTTAAGAACTATATGAAGCTCTTGAAAAGTTTATCTTTAGGTTGAATTTCCCAAAACTTTTTGAAATGACCTTTTTAATGCTAATCTGGTGCTTCTCAGGTGGTGCTAGTGGTAGAGAAACTGCCTGCTAATGCAGGAGATGCAGGAGATTCAGGTTCCATCCCTGGGTCAGGAAGATCCCCTGGAAGAGGACATGGCAACCCATTCCAGTATTCTTGCCTGGAGAATCCCATGGACAGAGGAGCCTCATGGGCTACGTCCCCACGGTCAGAAAGAGTTGGACACGACTGAAGCAACTTAGCATGCACATAGATATAACATTTTCATTAAAAAAAAAAAAGGAAACCATGAGTATATAATAAAATATGAAAATATAGAGAAGCATAAGAAAATAAACATTACCTCTGTTTTCACCACCCAGAGATAACCGCTGTTAGCAATTTAGTGTATTTCTTTTCAGTTTCTTTTTTTAGTATACTAAAAAAAATATATTTTCAAAATTGGGATCATGCTAATGAAATATCCTGAAAATTTCACACATCAAATCATATTCTCCTGTAATTTTGCTATAATGGCTGAGTAATATATTCTATCATACTGGGTTACTATAATTCGTTCAACATTTCCCTACTGAGGGACTTTTAGCTTGTTTCCATTTTTTTCTCTTAGAAGTGTGTTACAGTGAACATTGTGCATAGAGAGATATTTGTCTTCATCTCTGTCATTTATTTCATCATAATGACTTTGGGGAAGTACTAGATGCTTTTGAGAAAATAAAGAACAGAACAAATTTCATCTCCAAGCTGCTTTTGCCTTGCTGTTTCTGAAGTTGTTACACCATACTTTCTTAAAATCACCCCTTTGAATCAAAAAGTAAGAAGACTGAACAAACCTAATGTCTGAACAACAAAGGATAAGGTATTCTGATGGGAAAAGCTGGATCTTGTTATAAACATTACTTAAATTCAAACAGTAGCTGCTAACCTGTGTTGTGTGCCTCTAGCTGTGACAGGGAGTTCACAGCCACTTTGCATAGTGAACAATAAAGCAATTTTTTGGCTTTTTCTTCTTCTGATTCAGAAACAGTACCAGGCGCTCCATTGGTGCTCTTGGAGGGAGAAGTGGCTCCTCCAGGTGGCAGGGGTGTGGTGCCAGGTTTGAGAAGAAAGGAGCCACCTTCAGAACTTGATACTTGATTGGAAATGCTGACTTTTAACTTCCCTTTTTCTTCTAAGAGAGACACACAGAGAAAATGTTAAGGCCTCATATACCATAAGGACAGACAAACTGACATAAAGGAATTAAAAATAGAAATCTGATTTCTATACTGTAGTTTTAAAAAAACTTTTATTTTATATTGGAGTATAGTTGATTTACAATGTTGTTTTAGTTTCAAGTATACAGCAAAGTGGTTAAGTTATACATATACATATATCCCTTCTTTTTCAGGTTCTTTTCCATGTAGGTTATGACAGAATACTGGGTAGAATTTCCTGTGCTATACAGTAGATCCTTGTTGTTTATCTGTTTTGTATATGGTAGTTTGTGTATATGTTAATCCCAAACTCCTAATTTATTTTTCCATACCCCCCACCTTTCCCTTTGGCAGGCAGAAGTTTGTTTTCTATATGTAGTTTTCTTGTGTGTGTGTGATGCAGATTTTAGTTGAGATTAATTGAAAGAAGAACTCCATGGCTTCAGTTCCCATATCAGGTCACTGCAAGGTCATGATGACTCCTGAAACATGACTTTGTTCTCCCACTTGCAGCAGGTAACTTCTGTCTGATATCCTTGAGTTATAAATTTTGTCCCTTTAATATATAGGGAAACCAGCTACCTTCCAGTCTGATTAAATGATATAATGGTAACATGAAATAGGACATGCAATGGCAGTTTCATTTGACTACTCATGTTTTAATTATGACATGGAGAACATAAAGTTAAAATTCAATTTTTATACTAAGTTAAAATTTTAACCTTGGGGAACAGGGCAGAGGGGAGGGAAGAAACATGGTTAATTTTGGTTATGATTGGTTAAGCGTTTGCTGCTCTTTGAATGGTGATGCAATTTACCCAAAATAAAAGATTCAAAGATTCTATTCATTATACTTAACAACTACTGCCAGTCTGAATCATAAGTTTTAAATAATGACATTAACCACAAGCACAGTATGAGGATTAGCCAAATCATTTACAGATGTCTTGGCATTTTGATCATGTAGCTACCAAATGCTTATAATCCTCAAGGCCCATGTGCAGGCTATAAGAGGGGTCAAAGTGACTTTAACAGAGTCTAACACTTTGGGGTTCATTTGCTATTCAAGAAAGACTCTGTTCAGTGACTCCTTTGGGAAAGAAGCTGGAGCTTCTAAGGCAAATACAAAATTCATCACAGGTTTAATCCTAGTAAAGCCTTGCTCTTAGAAAATGTCTGTAGATATGCTGATAAACTCTCAATAAGAGAGAAAGGGAATTAAAACTGAAAATTTATTTAATTGCCCTAATCATGTACCACGGACCTGGATGACCAAGAAGGAAGGAAGGATGAAGGAATGATAAGGTTCTGGGTGTCTCTTCTGTATCTGGGGCAAACCAACACTTCCACACACATCAAAAATAAGGGGAGATGGTATTTCTGCTTAAGTGATTTAGGGATCAGCAGTTGATTTCCATCGCTTTTCCTGAGTTGGATTCATCTAGGTCAAGACTAGACACAGCAGGGATACTGTAGATAAATTTCAACACCTGGGTGGTGTTTAGAATAAAGGAATAAAGATCCCTTTTAATCCTTGATTTCCACAATCTATAGTCCTTTTTAGAAATTTTATTAAAACTTGAGGATACCATGAAGTATGATGGAAAAGATTTCAGGCTTTTACTAACCTGACCTCAAATAGTATGAGAGAAGGAAGTAAATCATTCTTCCTAAATTGTAATAGTAAGTAAGTTAGATTGAAGATTACTTCAGGCCTGGTATTCTCTTCTCTATAAGATCCCTCAGATTGGATTTGCAATTTTCTAGAACTCACAAAGCAGATATGGAGATGATAATGGCAGAAAGCAAAGAGGAACTAAAGAGCCTCTTGATGAAGGTGAAAGAGGAGGATGAAAAAGCTGGCTTAAAATACAACATTCAAAAAACTAAGATCATGGCATCCAGTCCCATCACTTCATGGCAAATGGATGGGGAAACGGTGACAGACTTTATTTTCCTGGACTCCAAAATCACTGTGGATGGTTACTGCAGCCATGAAATTAAAAGATGCTTGCTCTTTGGAAGAAAACCTATGACAAACCTTGACAACATATTAAAAAGCAGAGACATTACTTTGCCAACAAAGGTCCATAGAGTCAAAGCTATGATTTTTCCAGTAGTCATGTATCGATGTGAGAGTTGGGGCATAAGGAAGGCTGAGTGCTGAAGAATCAACACTTTTGAACTGTGGTATTGGAGAAGATTCTTGAAAGTCCCTTGGACAACAAGGAGATCAACCAGTCAATCCTAAAGGAAATCAACCCTAAACATTCACTGAAGGACTGAGGCTGAAGCTCCAATACTTTGGTCACCTGATGTGAAGAGCAGAGTCACTGGAAAAGACCCTGATGCTGGGAAAGATTGAAGGCAGGAGGAGAAGGGCGCAACAAAGCATGAGATGGTTGGCTGGTATCATCAACTCAATTGACATGAACTGGAGCAAACTCCAGGAGATAGTGAAGGACCAGGAAGCCTGGTCCATGGGGTTGCATAGAGTCAGACATGACTTAGTGACTGGATGATGCAAAGCAGAGAAATAATTCAGTAATCTTTTAAGATTTGTTCCTGTGGTGTTACTGTGACTTGTGATGGAAACTTAAGTTATTGCGTAGCGAAATCCTTCTTGGCTTCAAGCAATTCATAAAACATTTTATATAAATTCCTAAAGAATCTGATGTAGTCATTTAGTCACGCATTCTGTCTTTTATTCATATCATTATTTTAATTTCCCTTATGTTACCCTCCCTCCAATACTCTTACATGCTGTTACTGCTGCTAAGTCACTTCAGTCATGACCGACTCTGTGCGACCCCATAGACAGCAGCCCTTACATAGAACTTTATAATTTACTAAGTGCTATCACTTACATTATCTTTTAATCTCTTACAACAAACTTGTGAAAAACATAAGGCTGAAGATTATTTCTACCTTAAAAATTTGGAAACGGAGGCTCGTCAATATTCAAAAACGCCCCAGCATCAGTGAGCATGATCGTTTCTGTAACTATTCACCATGTAATGTATTAATCTTCCTGCAGAGAGGACTTCAGGTCGCATTAACATTATAAAAGGCATACATTAGTCACCTGGAGATGTAAAAAGCTGTTTCTTTGTTTTACAATTATAGCTTAGTTTTAAAGCATATCTGCCT